CTCTTTCTTACATTTCAAAGTTAGCTCCCTGGTTAGAGGAAGTGGAACTATGTAGTGGGATTTGGGGATTTAAATCGATAGGATTCCAGATTGAGGTTATTTTTTCTGGTGGTGGTTTGATTACATAAGTTCTTAGTGTTCTGATTTTCCAATTTTTTTTTTTTACAAGAAACATCCCTCATTTCTGTAATTAAAATGTCAAAGACCCCCCCCAAAAAAATATTCTAAGAAAGAAACAGTAGAGGCAAAGAATGGGTTCTTAACAATCACCATTGGTTGACACAGATCCATCATCTTTCTCTTGCAATTCCAAAATCTAAAAAGTTTTGTGGGGGAAAAGAAAGTCCTTTGTGAGCTTGAATATTCGTAAGTGTAGCATGTTTGATTAGACAGTATTTCCCCAGACATTGCTGGAAATGCTGTATAATGTATGCTATATTATCTCTGTTACCTCTGTCAAACTCAGAATACTCTGAAATTGGAAACATTTCTGGCCTTAAATAGTATCATGGATGTATGCAGACGTCCAGACCCATCAAAATGAATATTTAAACACATACAGTTCTTTTTATATTAGCAATTATAGTTCAGGAAAGCTGTTAAAAGAAAAAAGAGTTTCACATAAATGTTTATGGGTCTAAAATAGTTGCCTAATCTAGGAACCTATCAAAATGCCTAGCTACCAAACAACACCTCAGGATTTGGGAACTGGAAAGGGAGGGAGTCCCTGGGTGTATAGACCACCCTTAAAGGTGACAGCTTAGGGACTGTGAACTTCAACACATCACTGGATGTTCCAGACCTTCCCCCCTGCTTTACAAAATGTAGCCCAAGTGCCTAGAATGGAATGTTCTGGGTTCTGTGTTAAAAACAGTTTGGAAATTGTAAAAATGGATCTTTCCTTTCTAGAACATCCTTTATTAAGCTCATAGGGTGCCAGATTTAGCAACTAAAAATCGGGAAGGTCAGTTACATTTGAATTTCAGATGGTCATCCTAAAGCTCAAACCATCCTTTTTAGGACGGTTATTTTGCATAGTCACACAGATATATTGTGACATTTTGTAGCCAGGAAAAATAAATTTTTAAGTGTAATTAAGTCCCATGCAGTATTTGAGACTTATGTTAAAAAATCATTTGTTGTTTTTCTGAAATTCAAGGTTAACTGGCTGTCCTCTGTTTATCTAGCAGCCCTACAAGCTAATAAATTAGGCATCTTTTAAGGAAAACCTTGAACTATCTGTATGTAGATGGTATTGTACACTGAGAGATGGTAAAATGATTTTTTTCATTAGTATTTAAGAATTGTCTATGTAATACAGAAATTCAAATAGAGCCAGCAAGTTAAATGTCTGTTTCTTCTGTCAAGAATACAATTTAGAAGAGAGAATACTTAAATTACAGTGTTCTGACCACCAGCTCTACAAAAGAAGTAGTCCTATAATACACTAGGAGTTTTTAAAATCATTCAAGATTATTGGTAACCTGTGTACAAGTTCAAATCAAATATAAATACTCTTGATTATTTGTATGATGAGAAAATAGACATTTTGCATCTGAACTTGAAGTGCATCACCCTTTTTGAAATGAATGTTGGCTATTCAAATCTATTGTAGTTTTGTTTAATTTGAATGCAAACATTTTACAGTTGGGATGTTATTTGTAAGAGAGGCACTTTTACTAAGAAATAAGTATTTTAGAACATTTTTTGGTGGATCCTGCATTAAGGTCCTGTATCTTCATTAGGCAAATCAGTTGTACTTAGTTGCCTTTTACTCTGACATAATCCTGGGTGGCTGAGTCAGTGGTTCTCAACCTGGCTGAACAGCAGAAAACCTGGAGAGACTTTCAAAATGCTTCTTACTAGGGCTTTATGCCCCTGGATTTGTGACTGAACTGGGACCTGGGAAACCGTATATTTAAAAGCTCACCCAGGTTATTCTAATGCGCTACATAACAACAGTAATCAAGTTTGCACTTACCTCTTCCCTAACCCACTTTTCGTCTGTACTGAATGAGTGAGCAATCAGCTCACTATGGGAACAAATAGCGGCCCAACTTTATGCCCTGATTTCTACCTTAATTTCTCCATGAATAACTCACCTTTGGCCATATATGAGTATGGAACTGTAGGAACATCAATCGTTGCAGAATCTGGCAAAGAGTTTGTGGCCCAGCTGAATTTTGCAAGTGCATCTAGAAAAGACAAATCAAAGTGTGAACAGTGCCGACGGAAGCAATCGTCTCTCTGGAAGTCTCCTTTGGCTCCTGGTTTTATAAATGCCCCTGTACATGTAGATTTTCCTGGAGTGTTCCAATTCCTTGTACTCTTACTTTTTCAACAAAATAAATCTATTAAATTTATTATGAATGCATTTTATTTTCTAAAAATACAGATTTGTGAATCTTTAAAAAAAAGTCATACTCTCTGCCAATTGGATATTTGAAGAGTATCACCCCTCCTATGGTAGTCAGAAGAGGTGAGTTTGCCAGTGTAAACTGGAGGACGGGAATAACACCCAATTTTAATATTTACACGTAAAAAGCAAGAATCCTTGAAATCCCTGGCCCTTCACCTGCCCTGTTATTTGTCCATGTATTTTACCTTCACTATAGAAGGTGATACGCTCAGCTCTAATTAACTGCTTGCCTAGAGCTAATTTTTCTTTGAAAACTTCCTGAGCAATAAATAGAAGGGAGGAATATTAATTTCTTTCTGGCTCAAAGCTGGACTTCTTCTGGCTCTCACAGGAGTGACATCACCTCTGTGATATATGGCCAGGCCCACCTGCCACCAGTCCGTCTTTCATGTTTTCCCTTCACTTCCTTTGCCCTCACTTTGGCCCCATTGAGCTTTTGCCGGGAGACCCGGGGACTGACACGGCGTTACTGATAAACACAGAGTTGCTGCTGAAGGTTCTAATGGTGCCTGCTTGCATAATTCTTCTCACTGCCCCCTTGTACAGAATTGCGAAACGTTTTGAGCTCCTCAGAAGGAAGGCACTATGTAAACATAAGGTATTTTTTCTTAGTTCTCTATTTGAGTTTATTTTTAACAATAATAAAAAAAAATTTGAGATCATCAGAGGAAGAGTTTGGTTATTTCTTCAGATCTGAGACCTGTATGTTAAGCCAGTGGCTTTTTATATCATCAAATACTGTGTCAATGTTTTCTGTCAAACGGAGCATTAAACTTAAGGACTACACATGTGATATTTATAAGTAGTATATTTTTAAGACTTTCTTTTTAGAACAAAAGTGGCTGCAAAGTCTGATAATATAATATTTAGAATTAGAACTCTCTTGGAATAAAATTATTTTGCTGTGCAAACGGTGCAGCCTTTGACCCCCACAAAGAACACATTTCTTGGCTAAAAGACAGGTATTGCTGGTTTTTTAAATAAAAAAGAATTAATTCTGAAAACTAAAGGCTAAATCTAAACCAGTATGAGTATGTTCAGTTTTATTATGGATTAACACATGGGAATCCTTTTTTCTGTTAACAACACCATTGCTTTCTTTCACATCTAATTCTTGCAGAACAGATGTGCCTTAGTTAAAATTAAAGGAACTTACTTTGTAGTCTATTAAAGTTTAAGTTGTTGTAGAATCATTATAGGTTGGAGTAGGAATTGTAGGTTTATGTCTTTCAATTTAATTATTTTAAGAAAACTACATTTGTAAAGGTAAATATACGTTTCTAAAATTCCCTTGAAATTTTAAAATGTAAGTAAAAAAATGGAGACTCCAATGAACTTGGGTATTGATGTCCTCTAGTTTTAGATTTAAATAATGACATCTTTATATGTATGTATAAATATATTTACATATATATATTTACAAAGGAAATCATGGCCACTTAAATAAAATAATTATAGTAAGGATAACTCCATGGGACTATTTCAGAATTTTGTCCTTTAAAAAACTCCTTCTGTGGCATGCACAGAAGCTAGTTTTATCTCTCCCCGCTTGCACAGAGAGAACATAAGAAAGGGAAGGTGGTGGTCATTTTACCTACTGGGGCTCAGATTGGTGAAGTGCTTCATAAAGTGCTTTTATTTAGGCTGAGAGTGTTAGAAAAAAAAAGAATCATGTCTCAAATGTGTTTCTTGATTTAAGAGATGGTATCACAAGGCCACATAATCAGCATATTAGAGTGTGGGCCTGTTACATCCTGAAGAATGCCCAGGGTCACGTTGGCATGTGTGACTTGGGAGGGATTTAGTATTATCTTCTTTGTCTTCTCATCTCTGACTCTGGAGCATCCTTTCCTTTCTTTCCGCAGTCTGTGTTTCAGTTAACTTTGATGTCAGTCATTGCAGGGATGTCTGTACCTCCTGTCGCTGTCGCATTGTGGTGTGTGGGAACCGCCTGATGCAGCCCCTGGAGGCTTTGCCAGCCATGCATGTTTCCCAGCTCTCTCTGCCCTGCACATGTTCTCCCTAGAATAAAATTTTCTAATTGCTTAAGCTCTGAACTTTTCCAAACAGCTTAGAAGTGTTTGAAATGCCCAGGCTATTCAAGATGCCTAGAGTCCCCTCTGACCTGAGAATGAAATTTCAGTATTTCTGAAACTTCCTTAGCCAGTGGAGCCAACTGGACTATGACAATACTTGAATGCCTTTGTCAAGTTCTCTTGGCAAGATTATGAATTTGGTTGGCATTTCTTTTGTTCTTTTTTGGCTGTTGACCAACACTCAATATTGCCATCGCTTCCTCTGCTTTTGTGACATGGTGGCAGGAAGTAGGGAGGGGAAGAGGGCGGTCATTGTCAATGCCCAGTTGAAGTGGACCATGTTTTGAGCTGCTCAAACTGGGCCCCCTTGTCTTAATTTCTGCTTATACCCTTTTATCCTAGGCACTAACCAGATATGTTTCTACATTCATAGAATGTCTAGAATTTATGTGTTTGTTTGTGTTATCCATGGGAAATGTTCACTAGCACCTGCTTGCGTGTGAAGGTAATTTCTATTCTTCTATTTTCTGATTTCTGAACTTCAGGAGAAGGTAAAGCTTGATGCTGAAAGGGAAAAACTAGAGAGGCTCCAGGAGCTTTACTCCGAGCAGAAGACCCAGCTGGACAATTGTCCTGAGTCCATGAGGGAACAGTTACAACAACAACTGAAGAGGGTCAGTAGCAAACAGGAATGCACCAGTTCTTCTTCTTTCTTTTCTTTCTTATTTTTTATTTTTACCAATTAAGTTCCACTTACCTATGACTTACTACTTCTTATAGCATAAATATGCCTAAATTCTAGTCATTAGATACTTTTAAAATAGAAATATGCATGCTGAAAGTATAGTGTTATTCATGTTAATCAGTGAAAAATTGCTTACTAGAATCCTTCGCTAATTGATAATGCAAAATCTTTTCTGGAGTCATTTTTTAGTAACAAAAGAGAGCTATTCCTGACACTGAGACACTGGCACTGGCACTTAAGTCAACTGACATCTTCCCCTGCGTTTCCTGCTCCGTCGTTCATGAGTCCTATTTGCCCTTGCATGATTTTTTTCACCTTTAGCTTTATTTTAGACTCTTGTCCAAAAATTATCCTTTTCTCTGATTTACTCTCCATCACCAGCTGTTGTTTGCTTTTCTTCTTCTTCCTGTTACTTAACGATATTGAACTCATTAGCACGATCACAACAATTAAACACCAAGACTCAAAGGCAGGGCATTGCTAATGGCCTCCGTGGCTTCTCATACAAGCCTCATAATTTTTGAGAACTTAATGTAGCATAGACCTTCTAGTTAAACTTCATCAGATTGTTTCTGATCCATACTGTTGGTGGTGTTTGACACAAACGGGTTCTCTTCTGAAAGCGAGACTTTCTGTGTGGATGGTGTCACACACAACTGGCCCAGCAGCCATTGAATATTTCATAGTCTCTTGACAACTGGGTTGTTTCCTCTAAGCAGCTCCTCAAATAAACTGTGATCTGGGGAAGCAGTCACTGACAGCCTTGGACCTCTAAAGGAGTCACAGAGTAGTCATTTGTCCTACGTGAGCAGTAATTTATGATTCTACATGAGTAGGAAAGGCTAGCTCCATTCATGTTATTCTATCTGTACCTGCTTGGGAATGAGAAGTTGGAAGGTCAATTAGATTAGCACACTCTTAAAAATGTTTAAGATGCCCTATAATACAAAAACATTTGATGCCAGTGAGAGCATCACCAGAAAATGAAAAATAACAGTTCAATGTTTGGCATCTTAATAAAAAATATCCAGGGCGGCGCCTGTGGCTCAAAGGAGTAGGGCACCAGCCCCATATGCCAGAGGTGGTG